AGCAGCGTTTCAAGCAGCATTCTATGAGCTAATGAAAAATGGGTGGTTCTATTTAACAAAATACACTTTGATCTTGCCTCGTTTTCTGAGACACTCTGTATCACATAAGATATTTTTGGAATGTGCGTACTTTGTGGGTCAACAGCTTTTATATGAAACTATATTTCGAAAGTTCAACACCATCGGAAATAATGGACTCTCTCGCACTAAAAAACCACCCTGTATGTGAAGAAAATTCTATTGTCGATGTTTTTGTCAAAAAAAATTAGAACATACTTATCTTAAAAATCTTGCAAAAATATATGAATAGATTAAAATTACGGATATATTTTTCGTACCAATTTTATCTCATTTAGTTCAGCACGTATTCGCCCAAAAAACTAATAGAAACAGCAATTTTGGAGGAAAATTTAGGTTCTAAAATCGGATTTGCTCCATTACAGGTTTTGAAAAATTGTTATAATAATGCATTTTTTAAAGCTGATGTTTGATAAAAAAAATGTTTCTCTGTTATAATAACATTTTTTGTCAATTATCGGCATTCAGCAAACGTTGACCATCGTTTTGAAATAGCCATGCTTCAAATGCAGCATCAAATGAAATATTTAATTTAGACCCAAACTTGGATAAAATTGTTTGCAAGGAAGGTGACAACATAATTGAAAAATATTCCCTCATTATTCAGCTTTACCAATTACAGCCAAATTTTGTAAGTTATTGATAGAGTTCAGACGCAAATATTGATATTTGTATAGGTGGAAATTTACAATTAATTTTGCTAAAATCATTGTTTATTATTCATAGATCCCAGGGCGAAGCATAGTGCAGGCATTGTACGTTTTGTGCGGGTCCGAAAATTGCAATAGATTTTGGGTCACATACTACCAAATAATCACTAAAAACAATAATACAAATTGAATCTAATTTTAATTTCAAATGCAAATATAACATTTTCACAATTTTAGAGCAATTTCTTTGTATTTGTACAGATATATGTATATTATACTCTATATTTAAATATAACATGTTTTGATAATACTCTATTGAACATTTGCCTCTATGAATGATTTCATTCGCATGTACTAAACATATTTACTTTGCAAATCAAATTGGTTGGAACAACTTAGTGGTTAGTGTATATTGCATTATCTACCCTAGTATGTTTTCTGCTTGACGAATTCTACAAATAATCATATTCCCCTAATTTTCTGTTAGTTGATTTTTTTTCAGGCTTTAAACGAAAGTGTTTCTAAAGTTTTTGCTTAAAGTCACATGGCGAGAATTTCCAATATTAGGGCTATGAAAATCAACATTTGCACAACTCTTTAAACATCGCACGTTTTGGGAATGTAAAATTTTTCATACTAGCAATACAGAATTTGCATATTTTGAATATTCTTGCAAGTGCTAAATTAAAATAAACTTTCTAAGCAAAACCTAATGAAGGCTGAGCGATCAACTACATCGCATATTTTCAGGTTTGAAAAGCATTTCATAAAACCTTAATAAAAGCAGCTTTCAGCGAACCAGATTAAATTTGAAGTATCAAGTCATCCTTTAATTAACCCCTTAACACCTGTTCCAATCCGGATTTAACCTGCTAAAAGTCCTGTCAAAGTGTGAGTTCATTAAAGCCCTTTCAGGCTCTTATTAGGTGCAAAAAGGGCGTTTTTACGCGGCTATAAAACGCCACTGGGAAACTTATAAGGCGATTTCCCATGGTCGACATCACTACCTAAACATGTTCGGACCTTTTGTATTTATCTGATATGTTTGTGGGCAAATAAACATTATATCAGGATGGCTTATCAGCCGCACAAAGGAATAATTGAATTTGTGCTGTTCATTTTCTGGTATTTTCACATTGTAGCACTGGGGTAAATTGGACTAAATGTAATTTGGTAATCATTGGACCTTCTCATGTAAAATATTGACGCTATGTTAAAATGAAGTCTACACAAAAAAGTATTTGGGAAGTACCGCTGTAAAAAGTAAAGTGTTGATTTCATTTGAGATTTATTGACAAGAATTAGGTAATTACACTATCTATAGTATTAAAATGAAGAATTTCTGACGTCGCTATTTGACGAGTGTTCGCTTTTATATTTTCAATTGGATTTAAATTTAAGTGACTTTCAGGTTGAATCACTCTTTAAAGCGACAATAATATTAATGAATATGCAGCGTGCTATCTTTCAATTTTTTTTTTGAAACGATATAAGATATGATAGTAGTTATACAGGGTGATTCACGGTCGATGGCGTATTAGACGTTTAAGGAGAACGCGATACACGATCTATCTGCAAATTTGTACGAACAAAGTCACCGGATATACTCTATTGTACAGTACATACAACTTTCTTATTTTAAATGAGACACCCTGTATATTATTGCACGCTTATATTGGCGATATAGATCTGATTATTTTTGCATGACGATTCCTATACCGATCTAAAGCGGTTTTCGAAATATTAAATAAATTTAATTATTTTTAATCAAAACGTAGCCCCAAGGAATCTTGAACTACAACGCGATTTAGATCCCTGGAAATTTAAAATTTAGGTACTGGGTTAGAAAAACCCTATGCTTGCGCCCGGCGTACCGCCATTTGTTCCAAATTAAACAGGCTGTTTTGAAAATACTGACCTTTCGGCTAAATATAAAAACTGCTCCAATTACATTTTTTCAAATAGAACACCCTGTATATTAGTTCAAATACGAGAAGACCGTTAAATTCCCTGTGAAACGATATATTATATTTCTATACATAGTGTCAAATTTCGGAAATAGATGGATATTTTTGCGAAATTCGATTACGTCGACGTATTTATCAAAATAGCCATGAAATGTCATAATTTTTTTATTTTTTTTTTTCGAATCCGAAATCATTCCATTCTTTCTGCCCAGTACCGGGCTACGTCTATGGCATTTTCATTTGCAATCCACATCTCATCGATGGAGCACGTTGCAGGACATAATGTGCATCCCAGCAGGTGGTTCATGTTTTGTACCTCCCCACATTCACAGAGGCACTGTTGGTCTTCCTCAGTTTTCCACTTCAGCTTGTTTGTTTTTACGGGTGCCACTCCGGTTCGTATTCTGTTTAGCGTTCTCCATGTCTTCCAGTCCAAATTTGACCCTGCACAGGGGCTTTCGTTGATAGGGAATTTGTCGGGCGGTTCCACGGTGGCACACTGAAGAAATCTTTTTCTCGATTTGAGCCTTTTCCCCTGTTGTTCTTGGCCATAAAGGACATGGCGATCGTCGAAGGTTTGCTTAAATTTGTCTACGTGCTCTATACCCATTCTTCTTTCGCTTGGTTCTGCGAAGCCCGCTGCTTTGTACAATTGGTTGATTGATGTTGGTTTCATGCAGCCAGTAATAATCCTACAGGTTTGGTTTAAGGCGATATCGAC